TGACGGGTTGGGTCACAGAAACCCGCTTGGGACTGGCACCTGATGTGCTTGGACTACCTCTGAGCCCGTGTTACCTCGCAGCTTGGAACTTCAGTAGCTTGCCTTGTCTGAGCCAGGCACACCTGCCTGCTACAAACACAGACCCAGGTCTGAACTACGTCCCCCCACAAGCTGCAGGCTTCACTGAAAACACCTTAAGAAGTGCTCCTGTCTCCAGCACTCAGATACCCAGCTCCCAATGGGATCCAAACCCCAAATAAATCCGTTTTACCCTGTATAAAGCTTATACAGGGTAAACTCATAAATTGTTCACTCTCTATAACACTGATAGAGACATATATACAGCTGTTCCCCCCCCCCCCCCGTATTAATACTTACTCTTGGGTTAAGTAATAAGTAAAAAGTGATTTTATTAAGTATAAAAAGTAGGATTTAAGTGGTTCCAAGTAATAACAGTGTGACAAAGTGGGGGGTTTTCTTGTTTTCTGTGGAGTTTCAATGGTTTGCATGCAGAGGGGGTGGGACTTAGTTTCCCTGGGTGTTACTGGTTTAACGAGGTGAGGGGAGAGGGAGTGTGTTTTGCAGAGGACCGGAGAGAGGACATGGGGACCCAGCCGGTGGCCGGGAGGATGGATACCCCAGCGACCGGTGACCTGGCGACCTGGTGACCCAGAGGCCCAGCTGAGGAGACGCAGCCGGTTCTGGCCAGTGGGAGGACAATGGGCTGCAGAGTGAGGACCCAGTGACCTAACCAGCCGGTTCCAGCCAGAGGGAGAAGCAGGAGAGGAGGCCCCGGTTTACGACCCTGTTTACCTGGAGAGAAGACAATGGACAGAGGCGGGGCCTGGGGCCGGGGATCTCGGATGCCCAGCTGCGAGCAGGGGGGGCTCTGGGCTGGAGAGGGGAAGCAGGCAGAGCCCACCTGGATGCAGAGAGATGGGGATGTGCTGGGCTGAGGGAGGCCAGGTCTGAGGGTCAGAGAGTTTCCTGTGCTGTGTTCAACTCTCAATAAACCCTCCTGTTTCATGCTGGCTGAGAGTCACTCCGGTCTAGAGAACAGGGTTGCATCAACCCCTTCAGGGGTGGAGGCCCCGGGAGTCCAGAGCGAGTGGACTCCCTGAGGGGGGCCACGGCAGAGACAGAAGTGCTAAGGCTCAGAGAGGTGCGGCTCCAGGAGGTGGAGGGGCCTGACCCCGAGAGAGAGTGGACCTCCGAGAAGGGCTGTCTCACTAAAAGGGGCACCCCCCACGGACCGCACGGGGCCAAGAGTGGGCATGATCTGTGAGTCCGTGACAAACAGACAGAACAAAGTAAATTACCAAACAAAATAAATTAAAACACGCAAGTCTAAGCCTAATACAGTAGGAAACTAAATGCAGGTAAATCTCACCCTCAGATGTTCCACTAAGCTTCTTTCACAGACTAGCCTCCTTCTACTCTGGGCCCAATCCTTTCCCCTGCTACAGTTCTTGTTCCAGCTCAGATGGTAGCTAGGGGATTTCTCATGACTACCGCCTCCTTTGTTCTGTTCCATCGCCTTATATATTTTGTGCACAAGGCAGGAATCCTTTGTCCCTCTCTGGGTTCCCACCCCTCCTTCTAAATGGAAAAGCACCAGGTTAAAGATGGATTCCAGTTCAGGTGACATGATCACATGTCACTGCAAGACTTCATTAACCACTTGCCAGCACACATGTATACAGGAAGACTTACAAGTAAACAGAGCCATTTACAGTCAATTGTCCTGGTTGATGGGAGCCATCAAGATTCCTAACCACCATTAAAGATGGATTCCAGTACCAGGTGACATGGTCACATGTCCTGTGAGACCCTAAGGGCTTGGCTACACTTGCAAGTTAGAGTGCATTAAAGCAGCCCCAGGCTCCCTAACTCCCGACCTGTCCCCACTGGCAAGGCACTTAGAGCGCCTGGACTCTGCAGCTGCAGCGCTCCTGGTAATCCACTTCCATGAGAAGCATAACACTTGTTGTGCCTTGGCTGAAACGCCCCAGCGTCAGTGTGAACAAAGTGTTGCATTACTGCGCTCTGATCGGCCTCCGGAAACGTCCCATAATCCCCTGAAGTCAAGTGGCCACTCTTGTCATTGTTTTGGAATCAGCTGTAGGAATGCAGATATCCCCTTTCAAAGCTCTGTTTCTGACAGCCCGCCTGCTCATCTGCTCCGGGACAAAGCAAGCCATTAGCGTGGAATGTTGCTTGCTGTGAGTGTGTGTGAGAGAGGTGTGGGGGGGTCTGAACTTACAAGACAGCATGCTGACACACCCAGCACCCCAAAAACCCACTTTCTCTCCCCCCACATACACACAACACACTCCCTGTCACACTCCACTCCACCCCACCCCACCCCCCGCATTTGAAAAGCACCTTGCAGCCACTTGCACGCTGGGACAGTGCACTGCTCTTTGTGGCGTTGCAAGAGCTGCTAACGTGGCCACGGCAGGACGCTTCCAGCTGAGAGCGTAAACACTCGGCAGCATTTTCCCTGCTGGGGTCTCTGAAGGCGGGTTTAACGCCCAGTGCTCTACATCTGCCCTTAGCCTTCATTCTTCCTGGCCTGACTCACAGGAAGGCTTGCAAGTAGCCAGACCCATCTACAGTCAATTGTCCAGGTTAATGGGAGCCATCAAAATTCCAAACCACCATTAATGGCCCACACTTTGCATAATGACAATAGGCCCTCAGAGTTCTATTTCATATTTCTAGTTTCAGCTACAAGAATGATCCATTCATACAAATAGGATGAATACATGCAGAAGACCATAACCTTATGCCATGTAACATCTCTGTGCAATCTAGCATAAAACATATTCCAGGTATGTCATATTGACATTCATAAGCATATTTCTATAAAGCATTATGGGGTGCAACATCACACCCCTCACACACCCCAACCTCCCTCAGGGAATGTGGGGAAGAGGGGTGTGTGGAGCGTTATGGGAGCAGGAGACTGAGGGAAAAGAAAGTGAGGGACCCAGGACTGAGGGGTCAGGAGTAGGAGGGGGCAGTGAGAGGGGAAGCTGCCGAGGGGTAGCAATGACAGCTTCCTCCTGGGGGGCACCATTTTCCCCCTCCCCCCTCATGCCCCCAAACAATCCTGACCCCCAGCTCTGAGCTTTGGGGGAGCCTGTCAGCCCTCAGACTCCTGTCCCCCATCCCGACCCCTCTCCTCTCCTCTCAACCCCCTCCTGATACCCCCAACCTACTTCCCTCAAACTCCCATCTCCCCCCAGCCAGCTCCCCCCAAACACCCACCATGGGGGGACCCCAGAAGCGTGGGCAGCTAAATCACTTGTGCCCTGCTGTGTTCGTGGAGACACAATAAAGGGCCCAAGGTGAGAACACGCCCCAGCCCTTGCCCCACACTGAACAGGGTTAAACACGGGCTGGGGGAGGGGTGCAGAGCCCGCAGCCTCCTCAGCCCCATGGCAAACCCCCCAGTGACCCCTGAAACCGGCTGTTACAGACACAGCAGAGCAGGAACTAGGGGAGATGTGGCAGGAGGGGTTTGTTCCGGCCCCGGCCCTGTTCGCTGGAGTGAGTCTCAAGCGGGAAAATCCCCCGGGTTTGGGCGTCTCCCCACTGGCCCTGGAGAAGCTAACGACTGTCCTGGGGGCAGAGGATCCAGCGGAGCTGGGCTGGAGCCGGTGTTGCTGTGGCTGCTGTTAAAGTCTGACCCCATTTCTTCCTGGGTTGGGGGGGGTTCAGCCGGGGGAGGGGCGATGGCTTCAGGGTCCCTCTCTCCAGCCGCTCTGCTCAGGATGTCTCTGCGGAGCAGGGTCCAAAAGACCTGGGGGGGTTCCATGTTCTCATGATGGTGCCTGAACTTCTCACTCACCTTCATCAGCTGAACCCACCACGAGGGGACATTTGGAGGCTCCATTACCACAGCCCCCTCTGGGATAAGGAGATTTTTGGGGCAGGAGAGAAGGATGCTCTGGGGGGTTGTACAATAGAAATGCAGGCTTCGGTGGTCTAAGGAGAAGGGGAAGAGAAAAGGGGCTGGGGGACCCCGCTGCAGAGAGAGGAGGGGGACAGACACCAGGGGGGCAGTAAGTGCCGTTATTCCAGTGCTAGGGCAGATGCAGCATCCTGACACACAGGGGGCTGGGGCCTGGGGGCTCTGTCTCAGGGCGCTGTTCTGTGTGCGATTCTACAGGATGTGGGGGCCCGGCTCCGGGCTGGACAATGAGCCCTGGTGGTCCTGGGGGATTTAACGACCCAGCCGCCAGTTGGGAAAGCGCTAGGGCCAAACGCACCCTGCCCCGTGCGGCCCTGGATGGACGGGGGACGACGGCGGCTCTCCAAGGGGGAGGCTGTAACTGGGGGCGGCCGGTTTAGACTCGATGGGGACCCCCAGGCAGGAGCTGGCTGCGAAGGGGCAGGTGGCAGGTGGGTGGGGTGACCGTGGCTGTGAAATGCCGGGTGCCCGGCACTAGGGAAAGGGAGCGGGCAGAGCAAATGGTGCTGGGAATCTGGCCGGGAAGGGATTAGTTATCGAGTGCCTGATCACCCTGTGCCCTGGGCTCCCTGCAGCCATATGTGGTGCCCTCCCCATGCTGAGCCCTGCTACGGCCCCACTCCCCACTGACAGCCCTGGGCAGAGACGGGCCCAGCTGGGCCAGAGAGTGGGACCCCGTCGCTCTCCAGGGGCTGCTCCTCGGGGAGTCCGACGTGCCCAGAGCAGGGGCATCTCCTCTAGCTGGTAACGTAGGGGCTCGTGCGCCCGCCATCAGGGATTCAATCCTGGAGTGCGGCTGTCAGATCTGAAGCTGTTTGGGGGGGGGATTCTCCTAGGCAGGGGTGTTTGGGGGAAGGAGGGTTTGTGCCGGTGTCTCAGCCCCCCGAGAGGAAGCGGCTTGTCCCCCAGGGCAATTCTCTTCTCTGCATGGCTGGATCCAGGCTCCTGGGGGCACAGAAAGATTACATGTTACAGGAGCCCCTGGGGGGAGCAAGGGGCACAGAACGGGGTGTCACCTCACCTAGGGTGCCCCCCTCGGGCAGCTGTAATAGGCCTCAGCCAGAATCAGCCCCAGGACGAGCAGGACCACGGCGCTCAGCCCCAGGCGGGCGATGTTGGCGTGGGTGAAATCCGGGGGGGCTGCTGCAGGAGGAAGGGGAGAGTCACTTGGCGGCTCGGACGGGGAGATCAGCAGCTGGCGCTGCCCCGGGAGCTGAGCCCCCAACCCCTCGTCCGGCAGGTCCAGCCCAGCCCCTCTCTGGGGGGTCTCTCAGGTGCCATGGTTCTGGGGCCGGATCCCCTCAGGGGAGGCTGCATCCTGCAGCCCTGGGCAGCTAACCCTCAGCTTCCCCGGTGAAGGGGGCTCCCAGGTGGACAAACTGCCCCAAGACACCTGACACCCCAGGACTGGGGCAAAGGATGGGGACAATCAGAGCCTCAGGGTCTGAGCCCCTCACAACAGGGAACCACCCCAGCTCCCTGTCCCCATAGGACCCCTCTGTCCACCCCCACAGGTGCCTCTGCCCTGGCCTGTCTGCTGTGCAGTGAGCGCATCCCCGGGGTATCTCAGCTGCTGACAAACACAGCCAGGCAGTGTGCGCTGGGGGAGGCTGGTACATTTCCCGCTGTCCCCCACATTTGGGCGGTAACCAGGGCCATGGAGACCAGGGCGCAGCCAGAGGCAGCAGAACATCTATTGCGGGTTTCCCTGAGACCCCAGTTAGGGGAGGGGAAGCAAGAACCAAGGGAATTCTGGGTAATGCTCACTCCTCTTGCCAGGGGGATGTCTTGTGGCCCAAGAAGCGGGGGTGGGTTATTGTCCAAGGACTCTGGCACCCAGCTGGGCCTAATTTCACAGCCCAGCCCCCCAGATCCTGCCCCTCCTCTGGGATCCCCCAGCAAATTCCAGGCTGCGACCTGAAGGGCAGGAGGCATCGGGGGAGCTGGGGGTCTGGTGGTGAGTGAGGGGCAGGGGGCTGTCCCTCCCCCTGGTGTCTGGACCCCTCCCACCTAAAGTCACTGGCCCCGTCCCCCACAACCAGCCCCAGGCCCTGGGAACCATGACCTGTTTTCAAGTCTGGTTCAATGGCGGATTCCTCCCCCCACCCACCCTCGTGTTTCCCGGGCAGCTGGGAGCCGGTGCCGCTCCAGGCTGAGTCGGGTCGGTTTCCCCTGCAGGAATAGAACCAGTGTCTGTCAGGGCAGGGGGAGGGCCCAAAACAGTGACTCAGCGACTGCCCACCTTGGGCCCCAACTCCTCCATGGGTCCCCAGAATGGGAGCAACCCAGGGGAGAATCCCGCTGGTAAAAGCCCCCTTCTCTGCAGCTGCACCACGGGGCAGGAATCCCCCCCCCCAGCCCCTAATCTCCAGCTGCTGCTGCTCCCCCTGGCTGGGGAACGCCCCAGTGAGTCCATCCCAACTCTATCTGAAGGGGGGTTCTAGAGAGGATGGAGCTCAGCTCTTCTCAGTGGGGGCAGCTGACAGAACAAGGGGCAACGGTCTCAAGTTGCAGTGGAGGAGGTCTAGGTTGGATATTAGGAAAAAGTATTTCACTAGGAGGGTGGTGAAGCACTGGAATGGGTTCCCTAGGGAGGTGGTGGAGTCTCCTTCTTTAGAGGTTTTTAAGGCCCGGCTTCACAAAGCCCTGGCTGGGATGATTAAGTTGGGGTTGGTCCTGCTTTGAGCAGGGGGTTGGAGTAGAACCTCCTAAGGTCTCTTCCAACCCTAATCTTCTATGATTCCCCAGCCATGGGCAGATCCAGGGGCCCGCTGGCAGAGATTCTCTCCCAGATACCAGAGTCCACCTGACCCAGAATCCCAGCCCTGCAAGCTCGGTTCCCAGCCCCACAGTTCCCTAGTTCTTGGGGTCCTGATATGCCGTGTGTGGCCCCTGCCTCATTCACTGCGTCCAGCCCCCCTGAGCACAGAGAGACTCACAGGCTGGCCTCCGGCGCCTGGCACTGCAGAGCCTGAGCCCCACATAGGAAGGGAATCAGCCCCCCGGGAGGCAGCGAGACATCTTATCCCCATTATACAGGGGGAAAACTGAGGCACAGACAGATTCACTTTCCTTAGTGAGCTCCCAGGGGCCGGGACTGTCTCTTCACTCTGTCTTTATGCAGCGCCTGGCACAAAGGGGCCCTGATCATGGCAGGGGCCCTACATGCTCCTGCAACACATGGGATCCAGTGCTATTGAGGCCAGCCTTTGAAGAGGTCTCCACTAACTGGGAGCACAACAGTTTGTGGGCGCTTGGACTGAGTTCCCCCAAGATTGAGGCCCCCCCACAAGGAAGGACACTTTTGGAAACCACAACGTGCTCCCATCACACAGAGTCTGTGGCCACGCCAGGAGCTGGGCCAGATCTCCTGGGTCCCAACCCAGCACTGTGTCCACCAAGCCACCACTTCTCCTGCAGCCCCTGCCTCATTCAGCCCCAGCCAGGGCAGTGCCTGGGGCAGTGCCTGGAAAACAGAGGGGATGGGATCACGGGATTAAATAGCGACTCACAGTTCCTACGCACAAGGGGCAGCGTTAAAGTCACCTCCCTGCCCCGAGTTTCCAGGGGCTGCTGCTCCCCCCTAGCCGGGGCACCCCCCAGTGACTCCGTCCCCGCTCCCTGGCCGGGCGTCCCCTTGGCGGGGTCAGGGCTCAGGGCAGAGCCTGGCTCTGAGTATCCCATTGGCACAGAGCCCCCGTGAGGGTCTGGCTGGGGGTGAGGCTGGGAACAGGGACGCCGAGCCGGGCCCCTCACCTCTCACCACCAGCTCCATGGGGTCGCTGGGGTACGACACGGCGAACGGCTCCGATCTGCTGTGATAGGAGCAGCTGTAGGTCCCGCCGTCCTCCTGGCACACGATGCTGAAGGAAAACACAGCCCCAAACCTGTCCGAATCCACAGGTGGGAAATGGCGTCCCTCTTTATTCAGCACGAACCGCATGCCCTGGTGCTGCCCCCAACACCGGATGGTCACCCATCTCCCCAGGGAGACCCCCCCGCTGGGTATCAGGGAGATGTTTGGTTTGGGATAGCTGGGATCTGCAATGGCAAGGAGACAGGCCGTGAGATGCAAGCCCCGTCACTCAATCCTGGGGCCCTTCCTCATCACGCGGCCTCAGTGGTGGGTCAGACCCGGCGGCCCTGGGGATGGGCTCCTGGATGCCTTTCCAGAGGGGCCAGAGTTTCCTCTGAGCCCTGGGCTAACAGCATGAGACACGGAGCAACCCCAGCCCCTGGGGGCCCAGAGATCTGCTCCTTAGTGGGTGAGAGGCCAGTCCAGTCTCCAGGGTCCATTCACTCCCTGGCTTCTCTGCTGGGAGCCAGGACTCCTGGGTTCTGTCCCTGGCTCTAGGAGGGGAGTGGGGTCTAGTGGGTGAGAGCAGGGGGGATGGGGGCCAGGACTCCTGGGTTCTGTGCACAGCACCACCCCTGACTTGCAGGGGACTGTGCAAGTCTCTACTATACACTGAAGTTTATAACCTTCAGCTCTGCCCATCACCCCCTAACACATGTGTTACCTGGGAAAGGCCCCCCCTGCTCTGCAGCTCCCCCTGGGGGCAGGGATCCCTCTCCCTCAGCCTTGCATCTCCAGCAGCTGCTTCTCCCCCAGGGCTGGGAAATGCCCCAGTGACTCCATCCCCCCTCCCCAGCTGGGTGTCCCCTCTGCTGGGCCCAAGGATCAGGGCAGAGCCTGGCTCTGACCATCCCATCGGTGCAGAAAGCCCCTGAGTGTCCAGCTGGGTGTGGGGCTGGGAGCTGGGACACTGAGCCAGGCCCCTCACCTGCTACAATGATCTCGACGGGGTCGCTGGGATGCGATGTGCGATTCTGTTCCGTTATGGAGCGATAGTCGCAGGTGTAGCTCCCTCCATCTTCCCGGCTGACACTGGCGATGGGAAATTCAGCCACGGCCCCATCAGGTACCGCTGGCCGAACATGCAGGTTTGTGTGTCCAGCTTGACGCAGAAAGAACTTCATGGATTGGAACCAACCCTCACAGCGGATGGTGACGCTTCCCCCGAGCGCCACCACCCTGCTGGGGCTCACCCAGACGGTGGGTTTGCGAAATTCACGCCCTGCTTTCAACAAGAGACAGGCGTTAAAAAGGGGAGACACCCCACCCCCGCCTCCCCCCTGCCCCAATTCAGTCCATCCGTCATTTGGCCTCTCTAGGAGTCAGTTCCCTACTAGGGTTGGCACTGGCTGCCCATGGGGCTTGGGGGCAGGGGGTTCACCCAGATGTAGCTCAGGACCCGGCTGCATGAGAGATCACCTCCCCCTCCCCCCCCACATCCCCACCTGAGGCCAGCCAGGGAGCCTGACCAGTGCCCCCCTGCAGCTCTGGCCCCCGCTCCAGGGTTGGAAATAGAGTCTGTGACCCATGGGAGTCGCACAAGACCCACCTTTCCCCAGGCCTTGGGAACGGGGTATCTACAGCCCACAGACGGGCCCCGTTAGCATTTGTATGAGCTGAAATAAATCCACATGCCGCCTCCCCCCAATCCTCGCAGCCTGTGGGGGGCAGGACATTGAACCGGGGACAGTTGCCCTCTGCTTTGTCAGACCCCGGGAGCCAGATTCGGCTGCTAGTTACTCCATGGTGGGGCAGGGCACAGAAGAAGGGGGATGGATCTGAGCTCACAAGGGGAGTTTGGGTTGAGTTTTGGGGAAGGTTCAGGACTCATTTCCTCTTTTCCCCACCCCATGCATCCCCTCCCTGTCCTTGATGTTACCGTCCTCCCCACAGACTGATACTCACCTCCCCACACTCCGCTGTGCCCGGCCAGCCAGCAGCCTGGAGAGGAGATGGCTTGTTAGTGACCAGATCCCAAAGCAACTGGATCCTACACCCTTGCCTCAGACCCCTCCTCCCCCCATGGGCACACGCCCTGGCTATCTCCGATACTCACTGAGGAGGAGGATGGTGAGAGCAGACACCATGACGGGGCTGTGGGGGACCCTCAGCACTGCCACCAATGCCCTGGTGCCCAGCTCTACTGAGCCTGAGGCCCGAGTGTGAGCGGAATGAGGAACTGCGCCAGGGGCTGCAGCCCCAGGAAGCCTGTGGTGCGCTCGGCCCTTTTCTTCCCCATCAGATGGTTTCTCTGCAATCTCCAGCCCAAATTTACTGTGGTCAGAGCAAAGCCAGATCCCTGCAACACCCAGCAAACCACATCCCCTCCTGCAGCTGCCCAGCCCCACCCCCCCATCACCTCCCAGCCCCACATGGGAGCTGCCCAGTCTGGGGACCAGTTGGGTAAGGGGCAATCTCAGGAGGTATCAAGAGGTGCCCAGGCTGCCCTGACCTTTTCCAGTGGGCCAGTATAGCCTCTCTGGGCAGCAGCTCAGAGCAGAGGAGGGCTCCCCCCATGCACAGTGCCCCCCATGAAGCGACCCTCTCCCATGGAGCAGGACAGAGATTCCTCTCTCATCCAGCTGGACCCAGTGTGTGGAGGGGGCTGGCTAACCTCCTTCTCAGATACTGTCGCTGCTGATGCGGTTCTTAGCTGAGTGATTTGGCACAGAGATGGGACGGGGGGCTGGGTGGGGTTGTGGTTTCTGGCTCCATCGAAGAAGTTTTTTGTTATTTCCCTTGGCGGTATGAAGCCACTGTAGCGCAGCATGGTCTGTTTGTAGTTGGAAACTCCGTCCCCAAACATATGGGCGTAGCTTTTCCAGCGCGTACACAATGGCGTAGCATTCCTTTTTGCTGATTGACCAGTGGCTTTCCCTCTCAGACAGTTTCTTGCTGAGAAACACGACAGGATGGAATTCTTGATCCGGTCCTTCCTGCATTAAAACTGCTCCCACGCCTCGCTCGGACGCATCTGTGGTTACTAGGAACGGTTTGTCAAAGTCTGGGGCCCTTAGCACAGGGTCAGACATGAGTGTCGCCTTAAGCTGGTTAAAGGCCTGTTGACACTCATCAGTCCACTGAACTGCATTTGGCTGTTTCTTTCTGGTTAGGTCTGTCAGCGGGGCGGCGATTTGGCTGTAGTGTGGTACAAATCGCCTATAATATCCGGCCAAGCCTAAGAAGGATTGGACCTGTTTCTTTGATTTTGGAACCGGCCACTTTTGGATAGCATCCACTTTGGCCTGTAGGGGATTTATAGTTCCTTGACCCACCTGGTGCCCCAGGTACGTCACTCTGTTTTGGCCTATTTGACACTTTTTAGCCTTAACAGTTAGTCCTGCCTGTCGGATGCGCTCGAAGACTTTTCCCAGGTGCTCCAGGTGTTCTGTCCATGAATCAGAAAAAATGGCCACATCATCGAGGTAGGCAACTGCAGATTCTCCCAATCCCGCTAGGAGACCATCTACAAGTCTTTGGAAGGTGGCGGGTGCATTTCGCAACCCGAAAGGGAGTACATTGAATTCATACACCCCTGCCTGGGTGACGAAGGCTGACCTTTCCTTAGCGGGTTCATCTAGTGGTACTTGCCAGTACCCTTTGGTTAAGTCTAAAGTAGAGATGAATTGGGCATGTCCCAATTTCTCCAATAGCTCATCTGTGCGTGGCATTGGATAGTTGTCAGGACGAGTTACAGCATTTAGCTTACGGTAGTCCACGCAAAAGCGTATTTCCCCATCTGGTTTGGGAACTAGAACCACTGGAGATGCCCATGCACTATTAGAGGGGCGGATTATACCCATCTGTAGCATGTCCTGGATCTCCCTTTGTATAGCAGTTTGGGGATGAGGTGACTCCCGGTAGGGTGGGGTTCTAATTGGGTGAGCATTACCTGTGTCAATGGAGTGGTATGCCCGTTCGGTCCGTCCTGGAGTGGCTGAGAAAATCGGTGCAAAGCTTGTGCACAGCTCCTTGATCTGCTGTCGCTGCAGAAGTCCCAGGGTCGTGGAGAGGTTCACCTCTTCCACGCCACCATTCCTTGTTCCTTCGTAGTAGACACCTTCAGGCCACTCCGCGTCATCTGTTTCCTGGGCTGTAAACTGGCAAACGTTTAATTCTCTGGAATAAAAGGGCTTAAGAGAATTAACATGGTATACCTTAGGCTTTATGTTGGAGGTGGGGGAGGCTATGAGATAGTTAACAGCTCCTAGGCGCTCCTGGACCGTGAATGGTCCTTCCCACGACGCTTCCATTTTATGGGCCTGGAGCGCCTTTAAGACCATGACTTGGTCTCCTACTTTGAAGGACCGTTCTCTGGAATGTTTATCATACCAGGCCTTTTGCTCTTCCTGAGCATCCTTTAGGTTTTCTTTAGCAAGGGCTAAAGAGTGTCGGAGGGTGTTTTGTAGGTTGCTTACAAAGTCTAGAATGTTAGTTCCTGGAGAAGGCGTAAACCCCTCCCATTGCTGCTTCACCAACTGTAATGGCCCCTTAACCTCGCGGCCATACACAAGTTCAAATGGTGAAAACCCTAAACTGGGATGGGGTACAGCCCTGTAGGCAAAAAGCAACTGCTGCAACACTAGGTCCCAATCATTGGAGTGTTCATTTACGAATTTATGTATCATGGCCCCCAAAGTTCCATTAAACCTCTCCACCAGACCATTGGTTTGATGGTGATGAGGGGTGGCAACCAAGTGATTCACCCCATGAGCTTCCCACAGGTTTTTCATGGTCCCTGCCAGGAAATTAGTACCCGAATCTGTAAGGATGTCGGAGGGCCACCCTACCCTGGCAAAAATGTCTGCTAATGCCTGGCACACACTTTTAGCCCTGGTGTTGCTTAAGGGTACAGCTTCCGGCCATCGGGTAGCAAAATCCATGAAAGTCAGTGTGACGTTATTGATATAATCTGGGACCGTATAGATCATTGTTGCAACCAAGGTCCTGTAGTGGCACCCAAATCTTGTATAAAGGGGGTCAAATGGGGTGTCTAAGACAAGGTTATGGTTTACTGGTTATAATTATGCTGTCTATATGGGTGTATCAGTTTTATAGTTGAAGTTATGAATATTGGCTCTATACTGTCTGTATTGCAAACTTATGCTATGCTTCTGGGTGACATCCCAGACAAGCTGGTGTTAGCTCTGCCGCCTGCTTGATGGCCCATTAAGAACCATCAGCTATACAATGGACTCATTGAGAAAAGGCAAATATGCCTTGAGACTCAGCAAAGTATGCAGGGACTGGCCCATGTAACTCCAGACTCCATTTTGCTGTAATTTTCCACAGTGAGAACAAAGAGGTGTTCTTACACCTGGAAAAGACTATAAAAGGCTGATGCCTCATCTCCATCTGGTCTTCAATCCTGCTTCTTACCTCTGGAGGAACTTTGCTACAAGCTGAAGCTTTGAACAAAGGACTGAGGACCCATCCCAGCGGGGGATGTATTCCAGAGACTTGATTTGAACCTGCAGTTTATTCTATCGCTGCTGCAAGCCTGAACCAAGAACTTTGCCATTACTGTATGTAATTGATTCCATTTAACCAATTCTAACTCTCATCTCTATCTTTTTCCTTTTATGAATAAACCTTTAGATTTTAGATTCTAAAGGATTGGCAACAGCGTGATTTGTGGGTAAGATCTGATTTGTATATTGACCTGGGTCTGGGGCTTGGTCCTTTGGGATCAGGAGAACCTTTTTCTTTTACTGGGGTATTGGTTTTCATAACCATTTGTCCCCATAACGAGTGGCACTGGTGGAAATACTGGGAAACTGGAGTGTCTAAGGAGATTGCTTGTGAGACTTGTGGTTAGCCAGTGGGGTGAGACCGAAGTCCTCTTAGTCTGGCTGGTTTGGTTTGCCTTAGAGGTGGAAAAAACCCCAGCCTTGGGCTGTACCTGCCCTATTTGAGCAATTTGTCCTGAGTTGGCACTCTCAGTTGGGTTCCGCCAGAACCGCATCGTCACAGTCAGTACGTACTGCTTTCCTCTGGGTGTCTTCTTTGGGAAAGGACCCAGAATATCCACAGCTACTCGCTGAAATGGGACCTCAATTATTGGTAGTGGCTGGAGAGGGGCTTTAACCTGGTCTTGGGGCTTTCCCACTCGTTGGCACACCTCACAAGACCGGACATAATTAGCAACGTCCTTGCCCATTCCCTCCCAGTGGAAGGACTTCCCCAACCGGTCTTTGGTTCTGTTCACCCCAGAATGGCCACTGGGATGATCATGGGCTAAGCTCAAGAGCTTTTCCCGATACTTAGTGGGAACTACCAACTGTCTTTGAGGATGCCAGTCTTCCTGGTGCCCACCAGAAAGAGTCTCCTTGTATAAAAGTCCTTGTTCTACAACAAACCGGGATCGGTTAGAAGAGCTGAGAGGCGGTGGGGTGCTCCGTGCCGCCGCCCAAGCTTTCTGAAGGCTGTCATCTGCTTCCTGCTCGGCCTGGAACTGTTCCCTTGATGCTGGAGACATCAGTTCCTCCTTGGACTGTGGACTGAGGCTTTGCCCCTCTGGAAGCGATGCAGGTGCTGGGGCTGTTTCCATTGACTGTGAACCGCTGTCCGCTGGTGCACTATGTGGTATTTCAGGCTTTGGCTGAGCCTCTTGGGTAGGGTTATCTGCTGCTCCCGCCAGTTCAGGCTCGCTGGTGCCCTCTGGCATTGGAGTTGTAGATGGGTTTGCAAGCGCTGGACTCAGTGCTGGCAATGGTTCTGCCGCTGGTTGTGTTGCCAGTTCCGGTTCTGGGACTGGCTTTGGCTGGGTCTCTGGGATTGGATCCACTATGGCTGTTGCAGTCGTTGGCAGGGGATCCGGTTCCACCACCTTTGTTTGGGTCTCTGGTAACACAGACGGGGCCCTGGTGGACGGCTCAGGAGCAGGGATGGGGGTGAAAGCTTGCTTAGCCTGGCTGCGGGTGACTATTCCCACCCTCTTGGCTAGCTT